CGTGCCGGACAACAATAAGGTAATCCATGGATTAAAAATATACTATTGAAATGTAATATTGATTTTTCAACTTAGACTGTGACAGGAGTGAAGGATTAGAAATTTAAAACAAAGATATTTTTCAAAAATATTAAAGAGAGGATAAGATTTAAAAACTGGTTATTATTAAAGAACGAAATTCTGTCACTTATGCTTTTCCTTAGGAGTTCAGGGAACGAAAGGATTGATTTTAAAAAAATATGCATAAAACAGAAATGTTGTGTATTCTCTCATTGAGATTTCTCGTCAATGTCGATGAATATGATATATGATAAACACATATATAATATACCTAAAGAGATATATATTTTTACTAGTTTTAGAGTTTTATGTAAAATGTACATTTACGTTTTATACTAGTCTAAGCGGGTGGGGGAGAATGTTTGAATGTATTCAAGTTGAGCACTAGGCTCGTTTCAAAAATACGTGGGTAAATGCCATAGGAGGCACCTGACGCTGCACAGACGGCAATCATATACCACTCAACTAAATTGAGCAGGGATGGGAAGACGCGAAACAGATCAGATAGTCAGATATCTGATCTGGACTTCATGAAGGTAAATTCCATTGCAAACAGTGAACCCTTTAGCCGTATCACTTCGCTGATCATTTGAGAATTGCATTCTTACACATATGTATGAGTGAAAAATCATTCATAAATATATGCTAGAAAGCAAAAACCCAAAAAAAAGCAGGGAGCAATTAGCCAGCGCCCAAAGTTGTGCAAGGATTTACTCTCCTCGCGAACACAATACTAAAAAAATTCATTATCTCAGTGTTGGGCAAAAATTCACACATAAAATTTTTAGTCAAACGTTCTTGGGGTTTAAATTTTCATAGGTTTCCGCAATAATTCACTTTCTATTAAAGAATTTTCGGATTTTCGGATAGTTGGCAGAACTCTTTCCTCTAAGCCTCCCAAATCTGACTCATTTGATGACAGGAGACATTTTGTCTTGTCCTCAATTCCGCAACCATTCGCTTCGATTGCGTCTCAAGTCTGGAGAAAGCAGAACTGACGATGTTATTGTTAAGACTTGCGATATCAAATCGGCACTAGTTAATCAAATTGAAGAAATCACGTGATAAAGCACTGTTGTCGCATAATGGTCGCAACAAAAACTTCCCTTATGTTTGTTTGTATATTTTGTTTGTTTTGCGTAATATTCCTTACTCTCCAAGAGTTGGTAGTGACATCTGTCGGTAAATAATGGTATAATTTAAAGACAGTAAATGATGACACGGTTGCATAACACTCCAAAACGAGGTGCTCCCACCAGAACGGTTCCTCCATTAACAAATCTTAGGTAAACGGATTGCATTGCGAAGGCATTCCTTAAAAGAAATTGTCGCCTTTCTTTAATGCGCCGAGGGGAAATATTATCCCAGAGTAATGGAGGCGGCGCCACGTGATTGGGAACCAATACACACTCGCCAGAGAATTCTGATGGTCGGCGCGTAGCTTGCGGCCTTGCTTGTAAGCATACATAAGGACATGTACATATTGTTCAGCGTCAGTTTATGCAGCTGTATAAGTTTTGTGGGGATACCAAAATCAGACACAACGGCAAAAAGTCAGCTCCTTACTGTGCTGTCGAAAAAATCTGCTGCTTTAAAATCGTTGAAAAGGTGAAGTGTATCGATTCCTCTTTTAAGGGTCTTGATTTGGCGCATGGTGAATACATATCTAGTCAATGGTTGATTTACCAAGTCTAAAGCCACACTGATAATCTCCAATCATTTTGTTGACGGTGGGCTTTATAGTACCTTATAAGTACCTTATACCCCGCTAATTGATCAGACTGTGTAGTTCCCTATTTAATGGTTTGGGCCAAGCACGCTCGAATTCCAATCGTCGGTCATGGTTTCATCCGACCATATTTTGCGGAAAAATACTAATAACGATATTAGAGGAAGTAGAAGATTAAATTATAGTTTGTTGTTAGTTCAGACTTTAAGATAACGGGAGAGTCGCCAGGTGATACTTGATTCAGAAAAAATGTTTATACAGGTATTTATTTTTATAATAGTGTTTTTAGGCAATTGGTTACCTTCAATCGATTGTTCTTTTAATAACAATAATATATAAGTAAAAGCAGCACCCAAATTTAATGCCGAATACTTTCCTTAATGGGACTCCCAGACTCATAGCTGCATCAAGAGGGTGCACACTTCCGTTATCTCATTATCTTCAATCTTCTTCTGTCAATATTAGAATTATACAACACTTGCTGCAGTCAATCTTTCAAGGCTCGAGGATGGTTCCAAATACCATTAAGCTGTGCGGATGGTGTTATTTTATGTGCTCCGGTGATGCTAATCATCTTCTAAAAACTCTTTCCAGCCTTTTCAGATACTAATGTATAAGCCATTATTAACAAAAATTTCGAGAAAATTTGTGTGAGCGATTCATATTAACATTTTCTGGAAAACTGAAATTAAAATGAGTAGAAAACGAAATGACCTTCGAGAACCGATTTGGTACTTTAAGTACTTTGTTTGCCTAGAAAACTTGAAGTTATAATATAAAGGAAATATGGAGCTTAAGAAAGATGTAAAATATTACTTAAGAAAAAGTTTATAATTTAATTAAGATTTCTTCTGTACAACTTAGTGTCTTACGTTTAAATTTCGCAACATTTTTTATAAACAAAAAATAACCGATTGTGGATTTTAAAAATAAAAAGTTGATCGTCAACCAGCTACCCACTGCTGAGGTAATGTTTAAGCCATAAAAATTAATGCTGTGTTTTTGCAATATCTTCCCTTTGTTTTTGAAAGAGACTTTCTCATTAGGAAGAACTCTTACTTTTCAAAGTGACGTTCGTATTTAGGAAGGTCCGTAGACCTTTGCCGGTTGTGGGTTCTCAATGCTTAGCTCTGTTCTCCGCTTCTCACTGACAGCGAGAATATTTGTTACCCAGATAAGGTTAGCCCTCTGTTCCTCCGTCAGCCAGCAATAAGCTTTTGCACTATCTTGTGCGGATTGAAGCTGCGGTTTTGTGCCCTGAGTGGGCTTCGGGGCTTTGCAGTACCTTATAATTATTTTAGTTGAAGTATTGTTGTCTGTTAGCATTGTTGTTGAGCTGTAAGTCGTATTGCACACGTTGTCTGGTCAGATAATCAGTTATCAAAAAGTACAAACCATTATTTACTGGTCGTAATCCTAATTTTATGAATAATTTCGTTAAGAGAATTTTTCTCTGAATAATTATCAATTTCTTTACAAAAAGTTACATGTAGTTAAACCTTCTGAATACAAATCTATGTCGGTTTGTCTTCGATGTAGGAAAATTTATGTGTAAGCGGGTGGGGGAAAATGTTTGAATGTATTCAAGTTGAGCACTAGGCTCGTTTCCAAAAATTGGTCTTACACCAAATGACATAAGAGGCATCTGACGCTGCACAGATGCCAATCGCATACCGCTCAAGTGAGCAGGGATGAGAAGACGCCAAAAAGATGAGATGGTAAAATATCTGAAATGGACCATAAGATGATAAATTCTATTACAAACAATTACTTCGCTAATCATTTGAGAATTGTATTCTTGCATATATGTACGAATGAACAGGAAGGAAGCAATTAGCTAGTACAAAAAGTTATGCAAGGATTAACACTTCTCGCGTAAACAATTGGAAAGCTAAATTTTATAGTGGCCATTATAGTATTGTTTTTCCTCTCATTTATTATATTAATTTCGAATGTCTTTTAGATCGCTTCAGTGGTTATAACGCGCCACTTTTAGAAGTTAATTAATGACGCATGAAAATAAAATTATATTACTAATGTTCTAAAGCTCTTTTTAATTTCAGAATGCCGTCTGTTGAAACTCCAACTGAAGGGGTGGCACCACAGGTGCCAAAGACCGAATTGGAGGAGCTACAAATAAAAGCCAATAGCGTGGCCGATGAGGTAAGTTTACTCCTTTTCTTGCGTTTTACAGTACGATGTATTTGTTTTTCTGATTAATGATCAAAAGTCAAATGTTACACAGTAGAAAACAAGTATAGCAGTACAAATATTTTGCAGGAAATTATAAATAAATTGTATTATAAGATTATATAATATAGATTTAAAACAAAACGAATGAAAAATATTAGTATTATTGTAAAGAAAAGCTCTGACCCGAGGCAAATATATAAGAGCCAGAAGAAGAAAAATTAAAAATTATACTCATCGACAAGTTGAGTTGATGAAGCCGTTTATTCGTTCGTTTATTTGTAAGAAACCAAGTTCTTCAGTTTTTGTGATATATAAACTCGACGCTCACTTCGCGTAGTAAATTTGTCAAAAAGAATTCCAGAGGGAGATAATTAATTTTCCGCATATTATGTATTACATATTGGTGCTGAGTATTATCAAAATCGGAAATATATAACATATAGCTGCCATTAACCCATATGTTCAGATGTGATATTTTGGATTGAAAATCCATCAAAATTTAAGAGCGTAACATTTTGTTTACATATATATATATATATATATATATATAATCGCGTAAGCGATGTCTACGCTAGTAAAGTAATATACAAGTAAATACCGAAAACCATCGAAATCGAAAAACTTCAGCATATACTGCCATCCAACTAATGTCTGATATGAGTAGTTCTTCCTTATTGCTTCACTGAAATATTATTATATTTCAAACTGGATTTTTAGCTTTTCAGTTCGATGTTTTTTAAAAGCGTATTTTTCTGTTTTTTAAACTATATTTACTTTTTTTACTTTTCAGTTTGAATAAAAGCATTTTTTAAAATTTATGTAACCCTATTTATTCACTTTTTATTTGTGAACACTACGGTGCATACCAATAATACAGCGTTTTGAATTTAAAAAAATTAGAAAAAATTTATTAGTAAAAATGCAAGTAATAGACGCGGGTGTCCATAGTGACTGCAGAATACTAAAAAAGTAAAACAATAACCAGAACACTGAAATAACACAAATTAAAGAAAAAAACGAGTGCGCAACAACAAAAATGAGTGCGCCTGGGTTAAGCCCGCCAGAGCATTTGCAGCACCAACAACGCCTACATAGCAAACATAAAAAAAAACAGCGAACTCAAGACTTTCAATATCATTCATCTAACGCAAAACAAAAGTGCTTTGAGGAAAGGAAATATTGATGAAACTAAAAATCAAACGCAAGCCTTTGGAAAATTTGTGATCATCGTGTAATAACAACTACTAATCAATGCAGCGGAAAACATATTTTTGCCAAATTTTGCTGAAGAAAAGGGAGTCTTCTTTAAAAGATTATTAATGGTACAAGTTTGTCAAAAATTTACCCGGATGTTCTGCTAAGATGAGAAACCTTGAACCAAATATGTCGGAGAGGATCCACTGACGATTTCTCTCTCATGAGTAATTCAAAGCTCCACACGGGTTGGTAACTGCATTACATAAGGGTTGCTCACGTCTGCAGGGTGCGCGACGTTGAAGTAAGAGTAGGAATTGAGAATATCTCTCTGCTATATATGCTAAAATTTAGTTTGCATAGCTTTTACGAGTTTTATATTTATTTTGTATGATGGTAAATTTTTATTTGCTTCAGTTATATAAAGTTTATAAAATAATTTCAACGTATATACTCTTTACATCATAAAACTGGACTAACAGTTTCACTATCTGTGCATTCTATACAAATGTTATTTCAATTTAAAAAATACCAACCACTGCTTGTCTTTTTTAATTCCAGTCGCTTGAAAGCACGCGTAGAATGCTGGCTCTTTGCGAAGAGGTAAGTGAAATGAATTAAATATGAAGTAATAGGTATATATACATGTACTTTTGTAAGTATATGTGTACACATACAAATTTTCTACATTAATTCACACAAATACATATATTATATTCAAGTCTTGACCATATAGTCATCCCATATTACCTCTTTATAAGCAAATTTTCTTCTGAAATTATATATTAATACAATATTATGATCATTTGCTTCCCTTCCGCAATCACAATTTGAAATTTTTAAAAATATACGTACATATTAGGATCATATTGAGGACACGGGAATATTAGCGAGTTTTAGAGTTTAGATTTTTTTGTTGAAAGAAGACTCCGCATATATCTACACAGTCCAAAATAGTGACCCTTGCCAAGAGTGATTCTGCGTTGGATTGCAAGACTGATATTGATTTTGGTGTTGGTTTCAAGATAGAGAAAATCATCTACGACCTTAAAGTACCAATAGTGACGTGGCATATGCGACAAGCGTACATTATTGTAAAAGATTAGATAAACAGTCAAACGGCTTGGAAAGGTCTTTCACACTGATGGTTGGGTTTGGTAATCACCCAGCAGGAGTTTACACAGGCGTATAAGTTTTGAATTGATACTAAATTCAGTCGTAAGAGCAACTCCTTTCGTGTTGTCGAGTACCGTTTTAAAACCGACGAGATCGATTATCTTTCCAATAATGTTAGTACCATCGAACAAACTAATCTGAAACTTGGTAATAATAGCTCATATAGATACGCCGTTTTGCAGAGATATCAGACTTTGCGACCGGACAGATGAAAATGGTGTGTGATTCGTTTTGTAATGGTGGATTTTTTTTAGATCTTAAGCCACTCTTTAACAAACACGCTTAATGAGACCTGATATGAGAGAACCATGGGATGTTACTGGCGTAGAGTCTACAGTTCCTCTTTTGTTCGCCCATATTATGCAAAAGTGGTGGTACTTGTGCGCCGACTTTCGTAGTAGTGTGGACATAAATCAATGTTATTTTTAAGAACTTCGCATTGATGTGGATTACAGATCTACACCAATTTTCAGCTGTGAAAAATTTCACTAAAACCTACCGTTCAGGACTCGGAGACCCCCAAAAGTTAACAACAACAATAGCTCAAACAGGTGGGAGCGTCACCTTCTAGGTGCATATACTTATCGTATTGTAGTAGTATTATATACGAAGACTTTGTCGTCCAGACTGAACCCAGATGTAATGCATTAAAGCAAGTGCGAAAAGGAGGCATTTTAAAAGTATCTTTTGAATAAGTTGACTTGATTACTTCGTCACTTGAATATCTATGGTGGAGAGTCTATGTTATGTATTCATTTACTTTGTCAGTGAATCGGCTGCCGGATAAGTACTAAATAGTAGAATGCAAGGATATTGTGGAACGGTACGTAATGATTGTTTAATTTTATGTACTATACCATTGTTAAGACCGTAAGTCACAAGTTATCAAAACGAAAGAATAAAATGAAACGAATAAATAAAATAGTTGCTAGTCGAAGTACTAACTTTATTGAAGTAGGTATCCAAATATCACCTTGTAAAATGAATTTTAAATATTATGATTAGCGTACAAACAGGCAGTTTCTTCAAAATTTAGATTAACACAAAATGCGCGAAAACGCCTTTACTCGAATTCGTCAAATAACAACTTATACGGTATTCTTATACGGTTCATGCTTTTATATATTTAAGATTGTGCACAAAGGCTCACCGGTAATTATTACATTATCGGCGGTTCTGACCAACACCCAGTGGATCTCAAGCTTTTGAGACTTTGACCACCATGATGCCACACCTTATCAAGAAAAACGGCCGAGCAATCCATCTGAATAAGAAAGCTTTTCTTATTTCATTTGTTATACGATTTACTTGCCCAGTTGAACCATTTTTGATTCGGTAGCACTGAAAGCTTTGCAAAGAAAATGACTGACTGTTTGTCAGTTCTTTCAGGAACATTAGTGTGTTATAATCTCTTCTAGGAGATTTTTTTAAATTTCCGATGGTAATTTTCTTCTCCAGCTCGGAAACTGATGTTCCATAAATAATTTGTATCTAGAATCGTTATGTTTTAGTGACAGGTATTGCGCTGAACTACCTCACTGAAATACTGTGCTCTGCAAAACAAGTTTCCATTCCAGTTTCCGATTTGGACCAGGATCCGATGCTTAGTTTAAATAGTGCTTGAATATTTATCGGTGGCTTAAGATTTTTGCTAGTTTTCAAATCAATATTTTAAACGTTTGGAATACAACGATGTTATATGAGTTTTCATCCCGCATTTCAGATCAATAGTTCTATTCCGCTACAAGTTATCAATATTTTTAGTTTTGTTCTCTGCTCTGGTGTGGCTATAGTTGCTGCTGTCCCTAGTATACTGTTAAATACAAGTAACTAGTTTTCAATATCAGTTCCTCTCCGTATTTATGGATTGGTCTGTATATGACTGCTTATATATTTTTTTTATATTAAAGCCAGTTAGTTCTGGTACGATGAGGACTGCCGTGTCACAGTGGAAAAAACAAACCGCCTATCTCGCAACGATGCGAGCGACCACTACACGTGCGAAATGGATAGATACCGACATTTGAAGAGGGAAGCAAGGCGCATCTGCAGACAAGAAAAGAAAGCGGGCGAAATGCGTGAGTATGAAGAGCTTGAGAAGCTGGTCGACAAGGACAATACTCCCGTTATCAGGATGAACGCCGATCCTTGGACTCTCTCTAAGTTGCTCCTGAAGGTGATTTTATCGAGTGCTGGCCACCAGACTAACTAACTAGTGATGTGTATGTCAAGTGCACGATACTCGGTCTTATTTATCGCCGTTTTGCAGTCGTAGAGTGCAGTTAAAGCACTCGGAGCCAGTTTAGTTTGCTATCTAAGATTATCCCTAAGAATTTGACTTTTCGGCAAAGAATGCTGCTGATATCAAAGAAGCACCCAGTCCTTTTCGTATGGTTTGGTTATGTTCTGTGGAGCATCTTGGAAAGTGGGTATTCATGATGATATTCACCATTTCTTCATAAGATGTTGTCCATTAACGATTTGGTTTCTGGATGTTGTTTGGGATTTCAGAGCTTTCCTAAGCTTTTTGCTTTCCGCATTTCCTTCAATGTCACTGTAGAAGGCGTTCGTAGATTCTCGTTTTGCCTTCTTTATAGTGGTTTTAAAAGACTTTAAAAGAACCCGTTCTTTTGTCTTCATTAAAGTGTTTCGTGCTTATTTTTCACCGAGAAGCCTGCTAGGATCTTTCGTTAAAGTCGTCAAGTCAGTTCTTTTTCCATTCCTGTACGCAGCGATAGGTGGAGTTCTCATAGTGAGATCAAAAGAAATATATGGGTGGTCAGTGAAGGAAGATTGATAGACTACATGTTACTTTCTGATCTAGTTAGAAAGTGAGTTCGAGCCAAAGTAATGTCAAGAACCTCCTTTCTAGTAGATGTCACGAATGTGGCTTTGTTTCCACAGTTACAAATTTCCAAATCATTCTCTAAATTAAAATCAAGTAGCGGTTCACCTCAGATGTTTATATCGTTGGAGCTCCAAGCTGTGTGCTGAGAATCGGCATCGGCTTCAAAAAGCAGTTGAACCTTCTTGTGGTTCGCCTCTTTTACCGCTTCGCTTAGCCGGGTCGGTGGTAGAGTGTTGTCGTGAGTGAAGTACGACGAAAGAATTACCAGTCGCTTTTCTCCCAAACTCAGCTCGATGCTGACTGTGCCTGTGTTGCTATACTGTGAAAGAAGAAAATAGGAAAATTTTGTCTTAATCAGAATACGAACCCTGGGCCTAATTTTTCCTGATGCAGATACCTTTTGGTAGGTACCAGAATTTAGTCCACAGATTTCTTTATTCATTTTCCAGGGTTCTTGGACCAGAGTGGCGCTGCATTGGAGTAGAGCAGTTTAATTTAAATAATCTGTGCCAGTCTGAGAGATTGAGAGGCCCATAGACCTGACCTCGTCTGCCTCGGTGAGGTTTATGGCAGTAGCTTCGATATGCTCCCCTTCGGTAACGGATTCCAGAAACTGGTCCTCCTCCTTTTTCCCATCGGGTGAAAGCCGTCCCAACGAACTCAGGTGCTATCGGTATCAGTTTGGCTTTCAGCATCCGATTCGGTACGGATCTCCTGCTCCGGGTTGCCAGACACCCCCAGTCCACTCATGGTGTTTCGGGTAAGTGCCACATGTTTTTCCTCTCCGCTTGAGGCGGTTTTATCCCCTGAATCGCTCAAGGGAATGTTTGGGTCACTGGGACCATTGGGAGGTGTAAGGTTAGTAGACCCGCTCGCGACGTTCTGTACTACCCTAGTTTGGTTTTCACCTTTCTTGTGGACTTTTAAGGTGATGGAGTATAATCCGTAGCGTTTAACTTCCCCATAGTCCGCGAAAAATGGGAGGGAAGCATCGTTTGTGACAAATCTCACCAAGCGTTTTTTCTCCTTGACCACTCCAACTCGCGCTATTCTTCAATCATTGCCAAGTAGGATGAGTTCCAGAATATCTTTGGAATCGGAAGGCTCTGACGGCACCCAAGCCCAGGCTCGTGGACTGCTAGGGATCTCGTCCACAGCCACCAAATCGGCCCCAGGCCAGTTTTACCGCTCTATTATCAACGTTCGTCACAAGTTTTGTCCCACCGTTCGTCGCACGCTACGGGTGCAGGGCCAGAATGTCTTTAAAGTATTTCTTTGCACACCCTACACAGACCCATCAGCACAGACTTCTAGTTATCGTCCGGGAGCCACCTGTCAACGCCCCCAGGAGTGAGTTGCTCCTTGGATACCATGCTGAAGGCAGTTTGGGCAGTCGTAATTTGATATGGTGCTGCGGTCTGGGCCTCTGGATCCACACTGCTAGTGGGGCTTAGCACTGGTTTCCAAGAAACCGGAAGCCCGAATGGGGTTTAAAATAAGAATTTCTCCCTGTAGGTACTTTCGGCCCCGTCAATGCGGTTCTCGAGGAGTTTTGCGACGTTTTGGTAAAGCTGTTTTCAACAGCTGCATTTTTGCCCCTGCAGGGATCCGAGGCTGGATTATTTTAACTCATGTTAACTGGTTCGCTACTGAGCCGAGACCTTTAGGTGACTGGAACAATAGGAGGGGGAATCATACTGGTCGACTATGGTAGAACACCACGCCACAGCAAGTCACAGTTACTGCCGAACGTGGACTGGTATGCGGGAAGATCCATTATAATACAGACGGACGCTCTAGACTTCAAACCATACAATGGGCAGAGAAACGCATGGCACCCTGTACTAGAGGGAAAGAGTATGTTCGACACCCTCCAGATCTAGATGCGTAGTTTTTAATTTGTTTAACAGGGACACCTCTGGAAGGTGCGTGCACTAACGGTATCGGCGCGAGAGAGGCTAACTGATGCTCAGCTGGCAGCTGTATCCGCTTCAACGTACCCTGCACTTGGCTTGACCCCTTGGAGCATTTGGTTTTGTGCCTTTATTAGGCTTTGGACGGTTGACATAAATTGTGTCATGCATTGGGTTAGATTAAGATATTTTAATTAGATGCATTAAGTTCGTCTTAAGTTGAGATGAGCTTGTCTATAAAAACACTTTAAAAATAACGCCTTAATTGTTGATGGTGGACTTTAGGCTTTTACACAATAAGATTGATAGGTTCACTATCTCCGGGGGCTTCATTTTCACTGCCATTCATACTTACGCATTTCGATCTCTGTATTTCTTTCCTTTTCGTTATTCCTCATTGCATCAGCTCTTTTTCTGGCACAATTGTTTTTCCGTAACAACGGTTTGTAGGGAGCTTGTCCACAGTCCAAGGCGAGTAGAAACCCGTTCGGCCATCTGTTGTGATTGGAGCTTTTCGGGCGCTCTTGGATACACAGAAGCGCGTGCGTATCTACGCTGCGACAAGATAACGATCGGAATCGATGGTAGGACCCCGGAACGTACTCACATCTAAAACACGTCTCCTTGGGAGCTGTACTTGTCTTCCTTCTATCACAAAATGGTCGATCTGGTTGTGTATTTCCATCAGGACATACCTTGGAGAACTTTCCTGTGCTGGAACCATATTTCGGGTATGTTTCATCATGAAGGCAGAAAGCTCAGACATTGCGGAGGCATAGTTTTGTTTTTTTTTTTAGTTTATTTTTCATGTACGTCATATATAATAATAAAATATGTCTACGCTCAAATCAAATCTGGCAGTTTATATTGGCTATATATACAAAGTCCGAACTTAACTTTGACAACAAAACTCAAAAATAAAGTTATGGGACACAGTTTTTATCACAAATATTGAGTACACTAGGGTAGATGGTAGAGATCTCAATATTCGTAACATCAAAGAAGATTTTGAAATCCCGGCACAAATACGGCTTTGGCCAAGCATATAGCCCACATATGCTCAATGGGAGACTGTGCAAGCCAGTCTAACAAAACAATGTAGTTATCCCTAAACCAACGCCAGTTAGTGCTCGAACAGCTAGAAGAAGACTTCTGGAAGCTGGTTTAAAAGGATGTAAAGCCCGAAAGAAGCCATGGCTCTTACCATTTTTCTTTGTTGTATAACAAATATTCAATTCATACAAACAACAAGGCCTCGTAGTTTACTTAATAAAATGCAAAAACAAATTATAAATAGGAAAAATCGTTTGGACTGACCTCGCCGATACCAACATTTCACGGAAGAAGATTGGTAAAATGTTCTGTGGTCTGATGAATCAAACTTCGAGGTAAGCTTAGTTAATATCGTCTTAAAGTATTAACAGCTTCCTACCCTAGAGCAATTTTGAAGACATATTACAAATCTTATGAAAACTTTATTTTTTTTCTACATATATTTGGAACACCTGATGTGACGTTCGTGAGGCGACTGGTTGCAGAAGAATATCATCCAGATCGCGTTGTACCCACTGTTAAGCATGGAGGAGGCAGCATTATGATTGGGGGCTGCATGGCTGCTGATAGCGTGGGCGAAATGTTCATTTGCGAGGGTCGCATGGACAGTCAAAAATACATAAATGTATTAGAAGCTGTTCTTCTGCCTTCGTTAACGCGCATTTTCGTCGATACTAATTTCAGCAAGATAATGCTCCTTGTCACAAGTCAGCGACTAGGATGCGTTGGTTTAGGGATAACTACACCCGCAACAGCACGGTGTTTTTTAGCGGTCGTTCTACTGTCACAAATCTGTACCCTAAGCCTTTGATATTGTCGGGCATAGCACTTTATTGTGTAAGATAGAGTGCCTAGATTTTAAGTCTTCTTTTCCCTCTCTCCTATAGATTATCTCTTGTTGAATGAATGCGAGATCTTATGTTTTGAGGCCATCTCTGGGGTACCTCGTGGCAGCATTCTTGGTCCTTTTATTATTTCTTCTTTTTATAAATGATATTTGAACTTGTTTTTAAAATTCAAAGTTCTGGTTTCGGATGCCTTACTATTATAAGAGGATATTAGTGATTTAGCTAATTGAAGCATTAAAAATAATTTCCTGCTTGATATCGAAAAATGTTATAACATTACTTTTTCTAAGTGCTCACATTTGCTTTGTTCTATTTATTTGATAATAGGCTGTGTTTTGTTAATAAATTTTTAGATCTTGGTGTGTTGGAGTAGCATAATTTGATCTCTTGCTCTGCGATGACACCATATATTCCGATCTCTTGCTCTGCGATGACACCATCAATTGCTTAGTTGACTGCCCAGAGCTACTTGAGCAAATCAGCTTTAATGCTCCTCATAGAACTTTGTGCTCTCATTACCCGTTTTATTTAGACATAGTTATTCATATTGTTAAAGCATTCTTTGAATTGACTAAAATCTCTAGACGCCTTGATTTTGTTTTTGCAATCCCGAGATCTCTTTTTGACCCTCTTCTTAATGAATTTTATTCATAGTACACACACACATAGTTGGAGGTTTTTAATTTATTTGTGCAACTACTCTGAAAGATTTGCAAACTAATTGACTCAATAAATTTTGAAGTGAAGTGAATATATATGAAGATCGAGTGTTTTTCGCAGATACCGTCCACGTTCCATCGGTCATTTGCAGACATCTCGGCACTGAACGAAGTACTATCTCATACTCCACTCTGATGTTGTCGCTTAAGTTTTGCTTATATATTTTTGCCCCATAGCTTCTCTTGAGATACTGCAGAGTCTGCCATGGTACCCTTATGAAGCTTAGCTGGACAGGCAGTGGCCAGAGCTCTAAAACTGGCGCTAGTGAACTGACTTACCAGATACACCAAATATGTTTATTTGTACTTACACTGCAAATCAACGAGTTGGGGATTAAGAATCGAATTTGAATAAAATTTAAAATGAATGAGTAATCTGATGCAAATTCCTCAATGATAATAACGAAGTCAAGTTTTCTAGCTAATTGAGATTCCAAACATAACGTTGCCAGTCCTGATACTCGAATTGGCTTGAGCAAGAACGATGATAGTTCTTTATTCTTGAAAGTACGTTAAATGATCGCTCGGCGCTAGCAAAAAAAAATGATCTTTCTCATACAAAACTACTACTACAATGACTGTAAGATAAGAACATGCGTCACATACATCATATGTGAAGTAACAAAATTACTGATTTTTTTTAGACGCGTAGAATTAGTATCGCAATCCATGAAAATCTGTAGTCAGTTACGTCATAGATATTCTAGAAGCAAATTATTCTATATACGACAATAAAAACACCGGTCCCCCTTCCAATCTACGGGCCCGGGGGGAAAAGTCCCCGATCCCCCCCTCTCTTTGGGCCTGACAACCGTTTACAATTTGCTTCTTCTATGCAAAAAACACACTTATGGTCTAAGCCATAAAACCCAACACTGCCATTGTAACACAACTATAATTTTGAAAATAGTATTGAATATTTCGTAAATTGATTTTGAGTAAATTTATTTTATATCTTTATTTTCAATTAACTAGAGCAAAGAAGCTGGCATTCGTACTCTTGTGGCATTGGATGATCAAGGAGGTGAGTATCATAATATATATAAATAGTCTATGAGGACAAACGTATGTATGCGCATTTAAAATACCTCCGAATATCTTTGGGGTAAGCGAGTTAAGTCGCACGTGGCTGCAAAGTAACTGCGCAGATATTTTTATTAGAGGATATTTGGTAAACATAAAGTTTTGATGGGGGTTCTTAATTGTTTAGTGTTCTAAGCTTCCCAAAGAATATGGGGTGTAATGGAGTGTCGTCAAGCTTCTGGGTATGCAATGCAGTACAATAATGGCGACCCCCGCAAACGAACTAAGGACTACGATTTGCAGGCACGCACCCGGAATGTCCGGTTTCTTAATTGAGAAGGTGCCGCTGCCCAGCTGGTTGATGTCTCGCTAAACTATAGGCTGACATCACCGCCGTCCCAGAAGAGCGATGGACGGGGCAAGAACTGACCGAATAGGCCCTTGTGCCATTTACTACAGCAGCCAGACAAAGGAGCGCAAAATTTGATGTCGAATTTGTGATGAAGGAGAGAAACCGTGGTCGAGTATTGACATTCACGTCGGTGGATGAATATCTTGCCTAAATACGCCAAAATTTTAAGAAATATCGTTGGTTTGGGGCCACGCCCCGACGGAAGGGAAGGACGATTTAACCAAAGATACCTTTTAGGGGTGTCCTAGATGTGGACATTGTGCTTGTCAATATCAATGCCAGGGTGGGCAAAGAAGGTAATATCCCCACATGGGTTGAGGCTGATCGACTTTGCTTAGTTCTAGATTCAAATAGCAAATAAAAGAAAGAACGCCACAGTGTTATAAATTCGGCTATAAAGCAGAGATTTTAAAACAGCAAGCTATCTTATTTTTACATATATTATATTTTTAGTTTACTTTCTTCATTAGCGGACGTGTTTTTGATATGCTCCTTAACTTCACTTAATATTCAGGAAAGCTAAAGTATTGAGACGTTAAAATTTATATATCTGTTGAAGTGGGTGTAAAGAGCGCTTATTTAGCTATTATCTTGACGTACTTTTCTTGTTTTGTATCACTGTAAAACATCTCCAGTTTGGTATATAATTTAACCATGAATCGTCTTAAGAACGAACAACGTTTGCAAATTATTGAGGCTTATCGCACACTTCTTCCGCGCGCGCTTCGAAGCTCATTTTTGACTTAATAGGTGCGTAAATAATCATAATTGTTGATTTTGCCAAAAGCATCGCAAAAGCTCGACTTGCATGACATGGCTCGATTTTAGAGTAAAGATCACCCAGAAGCATTGCAAGAGCTTGACTTGCATGACATGTGGTTTCAACAAGACGATGCCACATGCCACACAGGACGGGTAAGAATGGACTTATTAATTGGCTGGAGTTCGGTGGATTTTTATTTCACGTTCACTTTTGTGGGGCTATGGTAAATCTAATGTGTACACAGACAAGCACGCTTCAATTAATGCATTGGAGGACAACATTGAAGCATTTATCCGTGAGATACAGCCCGAAATATTACAAAGAATATGCCGAAAATTTACTAAGCGGATGGACTATTTGATGCGCAGTCACGGTCAACATTTGCATGAAATAATCTTTAGACATTAAATTATTTGGGCCGTAAATAATGATAAATGCATGATTTAAGTTAAGTTAAGGAAAGTTAAAAAATTTCCTATAGCTCTTAAAAAATCACCCAATATAACCACTCAAGTTGGCATTAAACAAATAAAAAGCATTAAAACAAAATAAATTGTAAACAAAAACAAAGAAAAGAAGTTTAAAACATAAAGAAAAGTGAAAAGTTAGCCGTCGATGTAATGAGTGATCAACGCTCAAATCAGAAAGAGCGCAGCAAAAAGAAATGCCTATTTCATTGTTGCTGCTAGAAAATCACCACCCAAACGCAGTGCAAAGGCAAGCGCCAGCTCATCTATTCTTCAGCAGTAGCAGCAACACAAACAGCTATGAAGTGGACCAAGGTGTGACGAGCTACATTAACCTGGTAAATAACAATACGAAATCTTGTTCATCCAAAAAAATTTAATAATGCTAAGAAGCATAATACCGTTGGCTCCATTATTGATGTTATCAACTATGGACTAGTGGGGTACAGATTTGCCCCACTATGCGAGATAGAGGCTATAATATACCCAAAGGTGTTTCCCCCAAAACCAAACCTCCACCAATCTAGTATAAACTTAGTATAAACAGTAGGTTTTTCCATTTGTTGAAAAACATCTAAGAGGAAATTGGAAATAACCATATAAGAAACAGGAAAGGAAATTTACTAATTCGAAACTTTATTATTAAATCAGAACCATTTGAGACAAAAAACTGAGATATGAATGAACTAGGAACACTTTGGACTGGTAACCACTGCCAAACCCTCTCCGAAATTATTGCGAAACAAATTATTTAAACTTTTATATAAATTTTAAAATAAATTTTTCGATAAATAATAAATTGGTTATTAGTATGCATTTTGTTGTGTAGTAGTGTGTGATAAGTTCACAAGCCAATATGGATATTTTTTTAAAGGAAAATCATTCTTCACTGAGTTTGCTTACAGCAACTTAAGCCTTACTCTAATTAAAGAAGGTTAAAATTGGATAAAAAATTAAAATTAACTATTTTGGACAGGAGCCTCTGTATTTTGGCTGTTTCTACTTTCCGGTTTTCCGCGGTGTATAAAATGCTTAATATAGGTCCAAAAACGTAAAACTTAGTGCGATCAGAAGGCTCGACCCTTGCAATTCGACGATCAAGCCATAATGGCGAAAAAACAGTATGCCTTGCGAAACATAGGCGATATTCAACAGGAGTCTTTACGAAGGGTTGTGTTAAGTTTAAGCATGATTCAAAATTCGTTTCAATGGTGGAGCCACTTGCGATAAATAGAGATATACTTGTAGAAGATGGACGAGTTCAAGCGAATATTCACGGTTGTCGGGGTTTTGTGCACTCAACCCTTTAGCTGCGGTGTATTTTCGTCATGCTGAATGTCCACCGATGGTTATACCCTACTTTGTACCAGCAGGGCGACACATTTCGTTATAAATATCACTGGGTCTACGATCCCCCAGAAGAAGTGCCTTCTCAATACGTTTAAGCCGACGTTTAACGACAGCGACTGGAACTTGGCTGTAGCTGGTGCACTTTCGACGATTCTGGAGATACTCCAATGTAATGGTGGCACACTGGGTCCAACCACAGACGACTCGAACCACAATTCCAGTTAGTAAAAATAAGCCTCAATGTTATCTTCCGAAGTAAATTTTAAGTCCAAACCAGATTTATAGAACAACGAATGAACACAGAAAGAATGTCAAAAAAAATAATGTGCATGATGGAGAAGCGGTCAGATTGAACGAGTTTCCGAGGAGCTGGTTATCGTTTTGTTATTTTCTCTATTTTCTCTTGATTATTCGTATAACACGACCGAAGGTGGCTCGTACAAAACAGTTTAGCATGCCAGTAACAATGGGTGTAATGGGGTGTAGTTAAGCTTCTGGGAATGCTGTTACAGTTGCGAAGTTATACCCAATTCCTACTCTTGCCACCACGGCACGCACCCTGGAAACGTGGGCAATACTTGTGCAAGATGCGTTAACCAACCCGTGTGGAGCCTTGAGTAACGGCTAATAACAGAGGAAGCTTCAGCGGAGTCACTCCGACTTATTCGGTTAAACATACACCGCCTACCGAGGTTGTGCGCTAGGTTTGGGACCCGCCACGTAGAAACCTGCTCAATGATAAATTTAACAACGTCTCTGATGAGATACCCCATTCCTGTTGACAACCCCCGCAAACGAATTAAGGATCACGATTTGAGGGCAAGCACTTGAAATGTCCGGTCTCTTAATTGGGAAGGTACCGCTGCCCAGCTGGTTGATGTTCTTGTAAAAATAAAGGCTGACATCACCGCCGTCCAAGAAGGGCGATGGATGGGACAAGTACGAAAGCGAGTAGGCTCTTGCGACACTTACTACAGCGGCCATATAAAGGAGCGCAAACTTGGTGTCGGATTTGTGATGGGAGAGAGACTCCGTCGTCGAGTGCTGGCATGCTGGCCACAATCCGCATCAAAGAGAAATTTTTCAACATATCGTTAATTTGCGTCCACGATTTGGCCAAAGATACCTTTTATGTGCGCCTAGAGCATACTTATGAGCGCAGCCCCCGGCATGATCTAAGAATCGTGCTTGATGATTTCAATGTCAGGGTGTGGAAAGAAGGTATCTTTGGTACTACTGTCGGAAAATTTAATCTTCACAACGAAACATCTCCTAATGGGTTGTAGATGGTTGACTTCGCCGGGGCCCGAAATATAGTTGTCTGTAGTACTAGATTCCAGCGCAAAAGATACAGCAAGCTACTTGGCTGGCCCCTGATCGAAAAGCACAAAACAAGATCGATCATGTTATGATAGACGGAAAACATGTCTCCAGTGTTCTTGACCTGCGTACATTCCGAGGACCCGACACCGACTCGGACCACTTTCCTGTTGCAGCGAAGATACGCATGCTTCTGTGTATCGAAGAACGCCCGTCAGCAAACATTAGGAAAGCTCGACGTCGAAAAGCTGCAATCACAACAGACTGCTGAACGATTTTCTACTCGACTTGCTGCTGTCTGAGAGCACTTATAAGCAACTCGGTATGTGGGATATGCGGGATGGCATTTCAAGCTCTTTACGTAAAGCTGCAAACGAACCTATTGGATTTCGTAAAGGTCGCAGAAGCATCTGGTACGTTGAGGGTTGCCATATCGCAGTGGATCGAAAACAGACTGCGTTCCTCGGATCCTTGTGATCCATCACAACGCGTGCGGATGGTGATTTCTTCAATTTGATGCTGCAGAGCTGAATAGAGTAGATACAATCTTCAAGTCAACAAGTCTGCAAGTCCCTCATCGTTCCTATCCTGCTATATTTTGAGGAAGCATGGACGATGACAACATCTGATGAGTTTTTCGATTTTCGAGAGAATGGTTTTGCGTAAGATTGGGGGTCCTTTGCGCGTTGACAACGGCGAATATCGCAGACTATGGAACGATGAGTTGTATGAGTTATATGGTGACGTTGATATAGTTCAGCGAATCAAGAACCACTGGCTACCCTGGCTAGCTCATATGGTACGGATGGATGCGAATACTCCAGCTTTGAAAGTTTTCGATCAGCTTTGAAAATTCGATGCAGTACCCGCCGGTGGAAGCAGAAGATGATGAAGACCTCCAAAGACTCCGCTCGCGGTGCCAGCTAATCTGCCTTTTCATTACAATCTACGTCCGTGTGACTCGAGACCCAAGTGATATTCATAGTGTTTTTCAGCGATAAGCTGTTAATCGCCTCTTTTCATGTTCTTACTAATTTCGACTTTGTGTTGACTCAGGTAAATGCCTTAATTGCTGCTTAACTGTACACCAAAACCTGATAGACCTTTCTGTTAAAGCATGTTCCTGTTTGGCAGCGTGTCTAATACCTACAAACACTGCTTGGAAGACAGAATTGCAATCATTGAGTGTGTTCTAGCTTGGTTAATGGGATGGATTGTCTGCCTCGCATATGGACTCATAACTATAAATAAGGATATCGATGGGGGGACCCATTCGTCCATTTTTACCTGCTAGAGAGAGGTTAGGTGACGTTTACGCGGCAGAAAGCTTAGGTCTCTAGATCACATTTTACATTTAGCTCGAGTCCTGATAAAAATATCTGATTGCTGCCCTTCACAATTGGGGAACTGGACAAAACTTTCCAGAACATTTAGGTGGCTAGTTGTTAACGCTTCTTTATACATAGAGCTTGCCTAAGCCTACTGGAGGTATTCCAGATCCGGTACCCTATCTAAACAACAGATGAATAAATAAATGAAGTGATAATTAAAATAGTTAATGAAATTAACGAATAATAAAAAATAATAAAATGATGAAATAAATTTATATTAAAGTAAGTGCTCAGCGCTTTCTTCTAAGGGAGCTAAGACACTCAATTCAATCTCCTCACAATCGTTTCATCGGCAAATCATAAATTTAGTTCTGCTATAGAACAAGTCCATCCCTCTACCAATTATATTAGAGTTGAAAGGATATTGATTACGCCATACTTTAGCGACTGCTTAAGAAATCATATACAAAATTATTTGGCCAAAAAAGTTGCTTCAAATTTTCATATCATACCTTGCTAACAGAAAATTTGCCGTTAAAGCAAAGAAATTCATCACAGAGAAATGGACAAATTTTGGCTGGTGTTGCTCAAGGCGGCGTCCAAAATGTCAAAATACTTTGTAATGATGCGGTTGCAAACCCTACTTCCAACTTTATTTTGCAAACTCTGACATTTTCGATCGCTTTTCGTGCAAATAAGTTGCTTTTCGGTGAAATGGTTAATATATGATGTTTACAAAATATAATTAGCGCAAACAACTTGACCTCCGATGTCGGCTGTTGTCGTTAAGAATTTATGATGAAATTAAGCATCACAAACCTTAGCGGTGCTCAGTTTGCTTTTGTTTGCGAATCAATAACTTTACCGATGCCTTTTGGAACATGATACATCGTCAAAGTCTGCACAGTTGCATTTAGGAATGCATGACAAAGTTTGGTTGCTTTGCAACTGATGTTTTGGAACTCACCCTTATTTACTGCAGACATTCCAACTGGCGCAAAGGTACTAACTTCTCTATCTGCACATGATACCCCTGTTTTATGTTGTGGCGAGCAGCCAATAAAACACCGAAACACATTAGACAATCCCTTAAAACTCTCTAGAAGTTGGCTGTCAAACTGGCGTAAAAAAGTGAATGAGCAAAGCGTAAGCAGTCTCATTCACCCTAAGAAACATGCAAAATACTTAAACTACACATCGTAATGATCCCTCAAGCAGGCGAAGCTAAATATTTCGGCAAATTTTATGCTAATATACAACACGATAAACTTAAAATCACTAGCCTAAAGTGTTTACTTGGCAAAAATTCGGGTATATGCTTAGATAATAAAATCCTTCTACGAAATTATGGGAATATGCCTAAGCAATCCTAGTATCCACAAAAAACCAGAAATTCCAATTGAAAACGCTGAATCTTCAGTAATGATTTTTTATAAGCGGACTTAACTATGCCGTAAATTTCTTAAATTTTTTATTATTACTGTACTCCATTGAAGTAGTATCTTTGGAATTGGACTCGAATTCTATTAACGTTTCTGCTAGTTGATGAAATGATGAATTATTTAAAAAAATAATTTAAATATTACTTTTACAAATCTGTGAAATATCCAACCTGAATTGTTGTCCAACCTTAAAAATTTTCGGAAAAGTTGAATAGTGTACCATTAATAAATTACCAGCAAAAACATAATTTTGTTAAAATTAATCAATTTCAAAATAATTTGGATTATTAGGAAATTGTCGAAAAGAAAATTTGTAAAAAATTAAGTAAGAGAAGAAAAAACGCCTTACCATTTAATGTTCCACGAACGACACTAACGCGTATTTCTACTTTCAGTAGATGTATGTATATGTATGTAGTTTAGGCCTCTTCAAATATCCCGCCCGAAGGACCATGTAAACCATAGACGTAAATCTCAAAGTGTGTCATGTATTCCGTAGAGAATAAAAGAATTCAAAAAGTATTAATTAGAATTCGTGTTTAAAATAAAATTTGCCATTCTGAAAGCCAAAGTTCGAGCCCTGGGCCAACGATCACCCAAAATTATACAATAGAAAATTTATTTTTCTAACTCCTCATAAAAAGCCATCAGCCGACACGGATTAGTATAAACTGTAGGCCCTCCATTTGTTGGGAAAACATCAAGAAGAGGCGCGCCACAAACTGAAGGAGGAGCCGAAGAGCCGAAAATCGCTTCAGCGGTTACAAACTGCCAAATTATATAAGTATATAAAATGTTAAAATGCGAACTATCTCGCACTACTGTGATATTTTTTCCCTAGGAATACTGCAACAAAGGATTCTTAACCACATATTGCATATGTAATTGTGAATATGAAAATTGGTCTGAAAACCGAATCCTCTCTAAATACTTTTCCAGAACAATTGGACAGAATTGAGGAAGGAATGGATCAAATTAATGCTGACATGAGAGAAGCTGAAAAAAATTTAAGTGGAATGGAGAAATGTTGCGGAATTTGCGTGCTTCCCTGCAATAAGTATGTTTCAGTAGTATGTGATCTAATATCATTCTTTTAAATTTATTGTATTTAAATCATTAGGAGTCAATCCTTCAAAGAAGATGACGGTACTTGGAAAGGCAATGATGATGGCAAAGTTGTTAATAATCAGCCTCAGAGAGTTATGGATGAGAGAAATGGAATGATGGCGCAAGCGGGATACATAGGAAGGTAATAAATACACTATATATATTTATAAAAATACTGGGGTTTAACATTTTCAAAGATCTGAAGTATTGAACAAAATATTGTTATTTACTCGTTGAAGTGCTGACGAAAAGTTGAATACTTTAATGGGTAATTTTTTTTAATTTTTGTATACGTACATATGTATATACTCGTATATGCAGTTATAAAGAAACACTTGTACATATATGTACAAACAACAATGTAACCATCGATATGGTGTGGCAGCTGAGACGTCTAAACGATCCGCGAATATGATAAGAAGTGATCAGTTTCAAGTCCCTTTAAGTTTCCGAACCGTGAATTTCTTGTTTGGCGGGGAAACGACAACTAACGGCCTAGCTCTTAGTTGGTAATTATTTTGAATGTTAAAATTGAAACGCGTAATAGATCTGATAATATAGGCTGATGATATAATTGTATAGTCTTTTGCTGATGCAGCGTGTGGGAGAGGGACAAAAGCGACAGCGAGTTCGTCAACTTAGGTACGGGTGGTGCAAGTGCCCAAAAAAAGTTTAAATCAGGAAAGTAATGCTGTCATGCCGAAGTCTTTATATACTTCATGATTATGTCAAATTTATGGTATTTCAGTTTAGTAAAAAATATTATCTCATATCGATGATTTTAGGTGCTAAGTTTTTTCTTACAAACTGGCACTTATCTGGACAAATCGGTTGTATGGAGACTAAACGATATCTTTCAGCAACAAAGTTTATTTGTAGTTACGACTGCATGATACTAAATTTCATATCCTAAAATAGGTTTTCGACGGAGTTTTGACAAAAGCTTCATATCTGAACAAACCGGGTGTATTACAAAATAATATTCGTCCGATTTCAATGTTTTTTAGTGACAATATTTATTTGTAGATACGAACGGAGTATATTAAATTTCAAGTATTATCACTCATTTGTAGTTCTGACAACATATCGGTGACAAGATTAGTAATGATTTAAACTTTCAACGATCAACTCAGGTAAAACCTAAATGATTAAAATATAAGTTATTTATTAATATATATTTCGAATTATTTATAGAAGAGTGGGTTTCTATTGCGAGTGAAAGAAACTTTAGATAGAAGTTCCGCATTACAAGAGATCGCCCCAACCTTTTCACCTCAGTTGGTGAAAGAGGAGTCTCTATGCGGCTTTGGAGAGGTCGAATACAATCGTTTGCCGTATACATAGTGCCCCAAGAACACAAGCTTTGCTACGCCGAACTCCGATTTAGATATATTAATTGTCCGATTGAGGGCCGCAATTGTTTTAATATCTGTTGCATTATGATGTCCCTTTCGATATCTCGAAGCCACGCATAGTTCGTCGAGATACTTCTTTGCTCATGCGTTGAAATGTTTGGGCTGCATTTCGGGGGCCGAAAGCCATTTTCGTAGATTCAAAAAGACGGAAGGGTGTGGTTATCGCCGTTTCACAGACGTCGTTGGAGTGTACAGGTATCTGGTGGAACGGCTTCTACAAGGCCAATAGAAAAATTCTATAATTCTATAACTTTCAATATTGGTCGGACAAGGATTCGCACACTGACCATCTGAATGATAGTACGCCTTCGTTAATGTTTATAATAAGAAACGGATTTTGCTGATTTTCCCAAACACGTATGGTTCTAAAATTATATAAGAAAATTAAGAACAAGTAATCGCCAGGCTCTATTTGCTTTTCGCCCCGAATTTTCCATATTCAGCATTGGTGAACTGCAAAATCGTATGATTTAAGAAATTAGTCTATATTGAATCCCAGGGTTAAAATGACCTGACAAGCTATGCCATCATTTAACAGTGTTATGACAATACAATGCTACCCTCACCCAATAAATTGGGAAATAACACCTATATTTCCCGCCGGATTGGATAATCGGATGTACTAATCAATAATGTTAATAATCTTGTATATGGAAGCTTTTGTAATAATAACATTAATAATTATTGTTGGCGGGTTATGAGTTTAACACTTATCATGAGCGTTTGTTTGAATATATTCTTATATTTACTTATAAATTCAACTCAAATAAATATGTTAATCAATCTTTTATAAGGAAAAACTAATTTGAAAATACTTTAATACCTTAATTTAATATGTGTATGTTAACGCTAAAATAATTGTGCTTCTCGTGGATGTATGCACGTCTAACTCCGCCAACGAACCAAATAAAAAAGAAAGCTTATTAAAAAACTTAGCAACGGACAGGCTCGAATGGGAAATAACGGGACATACATCCACAAGGTCGCATTTTAATGTACACTTTAAACTTTAACTTCTAAAGGCTCAATTCAATGCTGCGCGCCATCAATCCCCTCCCCGTGATCTTCATGCTCTGATGTGGGGTTCACCGCTCTAAGATCGAGGCGCGCTAATTTCACTGCCGGGCGAGTCACCAGTCCGTTGGCTGTTTTTACTACAGCACTTGTTACTTGGCCATCGGAACTTCGTATAACATCTAGCACCTTTCTCTTGACCCAGGTGTTCCGTTTCGAGTTTTCGATGATCACCACGTTGTTCGGGGCAATAGAATCTGCTGGGCTCTCAAGCCATTTTGCGCGTCTATTTAATCCAGGCAAATATTCACGAATGCATCGTCTCCAGAATCGATCGGCCAATCGATCTCAGGATACTTTCGCATAATTGTTTCAGATGATATCTTCTCTATTTCTTCAGCTAGTATACGACTAGCACCTCTAAAATTGGTGCCGTTATCTGAGAGGATTCGCTTGGGTACCCCCCTTCTTGAAATAAACAACTTCAGCACCAGCAGAAACGAGTCGGTGGATAGCGATGGTGGAATCTCGATGTGAACCGCGCGTATGGTCATACACGTAAACACGACTCCCCAACGTTTCTCGTGTTTTCTGCCAACAGTCACATCATATGGTCCAAAATAGTCGACGCCTGTGTAGGCAAAAGGATGGCAGAATGTTGCCAGGCGCTCCATGGGTAGCTTTCCCATTTCAGGTGGATTCGGCATGGCTCGTCGATTGCAACAATGTTGACATAGCTTGGTCACATTTCTCACCAATGATCGTAGGCCATGAACGCAAAATCGCTGCCTCATCTCATTTACCACTATTTCGTTGTGGTGGTGATGAAACCTCCGATGGTAGAACTCTGTGATGAGATGAGTAATGATACTATTTCGGGGAAGTATAATGGGTCGTTTAAGATCAGCTGGTACTTCTCGTGCTTCGTCAATTCGACCCTTCACTCTCAGCAGTCCATACTCATCTATAAATGGAAAAAATTTGTAAATTGAGCTTTTACGACTTACCGCGCCGCTTCTTAGTTGATTATATTCTGTGGTATAATACTCTTGCGGTCATTTACGAAATAGAAGAATTTCAGCACTTGTACAAGTTGTGTCATCAATTGTGTCAAACGAAGAAACCGAAGAATGCTCATCTGGGCAGGCCGTAGTTTTTCCCACTTGCTGAACCTTTGTGGATCCGGTGATGCATCATGTTTTGGTGTGTTGTACGTGTTCAGGTGTCGAACTATTCCCACTGCAGTTTTAACTTGTTCGAAATTGATGGTAGGCCAGGAAGTTTCTGATAATTTTAGAAAGTCGGGACCGGTGAACCATCTGGCGGCACTGTTTATTTCCATATTTGGGGTCCACTTAGTTCCGTCGACTGCTACGTTATCCTTCGATGGTACCCACCGCCATTCGTTGACTCGTGAATCTTCTAAAATTTCACCAACACGTACAGCCACAAACTGGTTGAATTTTCGGGTGTCTGACCTTATCCAGCAGAGAACGTCTTTCGAATCGGACCGGAAAATCCGGTGGTTTATTTTTATAGAGACCTCCTGTTCTATAAACTTAGCTAGACGAAGACCTAGGATGGCAGCCATCAGTTCAAGCCGTGGTACTGAGAGTGGCTTCAAAGGAGCAACTCTGGTTTTAGAAGCAACGAGACTGCAGCAAATTTTGTTCTTATACTCGAACGTATATGCTGATATGCTAGCGTCGACGAAGATATGAAGTTGATTATCGCTGCTATGACTCGCCAATTGATAGCACCGTGGAATTCGAATTTGACAGACGAAATGAAGCCTTCGCAGCCACTGCCACCATGCTGAGCGTTCACGATCTTGCACAGGCTCGTCCCATGCTACGCCCGATCGCCATACATCTTGTAAAATCATTTTGGCTTGTATCACGAAAAAGCCTAACAAGCCCAAAGGATCGAAGATAGTCATCACCAGCCGCAGTATTTGTCGTTTTGTAGGAAGACGAGTTTCATTGAAGACCTCTGGCTTAAATTTGTGAACAAATGTTAACTCATCACTAATAGGAAGCCACCACATTCCGAAAACCTTTTGAAGTTCTGACCCCGGTTCTAGGAAACACTTGTTTGTGAGCTTACTCTGTCTGGTCATTGCTTGTAGAACTCGTTTGGAATTCGATAGCCAGTTCCGCATTTCAAAACCGCCTACAGAATGTATGTTGCGCACATCTGAAGCAAGTTGCATCATTTAGTCATTGTCTGTACTGTGCAGCCAGTCGTCTACAAATGTGTTACTAACGATCGTTGCTACGGCCTTGAGAAGTGTCTTTTCAAATCGTATAGCATTTTTGTCCTTTATGTAGTTAGCCAGGGACGGGGAGCACGATGCCCCAAGCGTCATTACGGTCATGGCAAAGACATCAGGCCGTCGAGCATCACCATTTCGCCAAAGGAATTGTTGCGCCACCTGGTCCTCTTCTTTCTCCCGAATTTGGTGGAACATTTCGCGAATGTCCCCATATATAGCCACCGAACGTTCACGAAATCGCATCAGGATACCGACCAGCGAATGCAGAAGATCAGGACCTTTGAGCAGTACGTCGTTTAGACTCGTATTATTAACCTTCGCGGCTGCATCCCATACGATTCTCCTTTTATTTTTGTTGACATTTAAGACTGTAAATATCGGAATGAACCAGAATTTGCCTCCTCTTGAGACTTCGTCGACTTTCAGTCTTCTCACATA